GGTGTGGGTGGGTGTGGGGTGGGGGGTCTTCGTGGAGGTTCTGGCGTCACAGTTCCAGATTGTAAAAAGCGTCTGGGTCACAGTTGGGACAGAAGGACTCTCTGATCAGAACTGTTCTCGTCTCGTTTGAAGAAAAGATCCGGCTCGGCTCAGGCCCCGCCCACAGCTCCCAGCATGCCGAGCAGCAGCATCAGGTGTGGCAGCAGGCGGCCCGCAGCCGAGACAGGAAGCAGGTGGACCCTGTCCGTGTTGGACATCATGTCCCGAGCATCCTGCAGCGCGCCCACCGCGGCCACGCTGGAGTTCATGTCTCCGCCGGAGATCAGGTCGAAGACGCAGGCCTGGTAGTACACGTCCCGGGCAGGAAGCTGAGCGGCGCAGTGGGCCTCGGCGGCAAGGGAGGCGGGCTCAGGAGGGGGAAGGGGGCGGAGCGTGTTGAGCTTCTGGGAGGCGGGGCAGCCCCACACGCACAGCTGCAGGTCTTGGTCGGGTCCGAAGTCCTCGGCGATGTGGCGCGGCGAGCGGACGGACAGGCTGAGGGAGCGGCCACTCTGTCGCACCACCAGCAGCGTGCCGATGTGGGCCGCCCGGACCTCCGCGTGCCGACCTGGACTCTCCGTCCGGACCGTCAGGCTGCGGTGGCCTCGCCGCTCGCCGTTCCACACGGAACCGTCGGCAAAGGCGGCGGGAACGTTGTCCAGCTCCGCCTGGTAGAGCTGCTGATCGATGCACTGACGCCAGTCCTTAAAGATGATGCTGATCTGACAGGAAGTAGAGCAGGAAGTGGATCTAATGTTCTGTCCAAGTTTAGCAAGTAGGGGTCTCTGCGGTCGAGTGGGCGTGTCACAAGGAAAGGCGATTCTAAAGCCACACACCTGATTTGACGGACTTTGTTAAAGGGACACACCTGATTTGACGGACTTTGTTAAAGGGACACACCTGATTTGACGGACTTTGTTAAAGGGACACACCTGATTGGACAAGAACAAAAGGGGCGTTACTGTACGACACCACCTGATTGGACAAGAACAAAAGGGGTGTTACTGTACGGCACCAGTTTTTCTGGAGACCCCTACTTGGGTCACATTTCTAGTGTTGGGGTCAGAGTCAGGCTGTAAAGAGGTCAAGCAGGGTCTAAGGATACCGTCATGTAGGCCTCGTAGCCCACAGTGTTTATGCTTTAGACACGCCCACTCTTGTGACACGCCCACTTTGATTCTGCAGATAAGCCCTTCTCAGGTTTAGTGTGAATTTACAGCCAACTTTAAAAGGGATCCATGATTAGTTGTAACATTAGACTTTATTTAATAAACATATATTTTAACTGTAAAATAAAGACTGTAAAAATACTGTAGGACGTTTAGTTTTTATCATTTTTAAAAATATATTTTAACACGGACAGAGCCATTTTATTTGCACACAAAGCATTCTGGGTAAATGATGTCGTGGATAGGTCCTCGTGGGAGGTTGAGACGGGACAAATGACTCTTTGAAGGGATCCAGATCTTGGGGAGCCGTTTGTTTCGGAGAGCCGTTCAAATGAGCCGTTCGATTTTGAACGTATTACGTCATCACATAGGGAAATATGTAACCACGTAACCGTACATAATGACGTCATCCCGTCACGTGGGTGGAACCATGTGTTTGTCAAGCGGAAACCCCCCCCCTCCCCCTTTCACCGTGAGCTTCTGTACACCAGAACTCCGCCTGTTTTCCGTGAAAAAGCAAAGCAGGAACGATTTAAGTACGAAAAAATAAAGAAATAAAACTACAAATGGCTCGTTGCTGCCTGCGATTTGGCTCCTATCGTTCGTTATAAAGAGCTGTTCAAAAGATTCGGATCGTTCGCGAACGTCACAGCTCTAGTGCGAGGCTGCTAGCGAGCTATATCCACCCTGAAGGTTAATCTTGGACAATATCTGATGATCGACTCTTTTAAATGAAACCAGAGAGCGTTGACAGAGAGGAGAAGGTAGAAATGACTCAGCCTGGAACTGAAAATATGGATGGAGGACAACAGGTTAGCTTGTTTGTCGCGCTAGCTAATGCTAAAGCTAACAGGCTAAGCTGAGGTTCTTCTTCCACGAAGCAGCTCTGTTGTCCTCCATCCATATTTTCAGATTTGTAAAGTAACTAATTACAAATACTTTGTTACTGTACTTAAGTAGAAATTTTGGGTATCTATACTTTACTAGAGTAATTAATTTTCAGCCTACTTTTTACTTCTTACATTTTTAAAAAAGACAAGAAGTATAAAGTTGTTACTTTTATTTCATTTCTGCTTGTTTTCATTGCAGCTTGTTGTTGTAAAAAATAAAAACTATCCATATAAACTGAGCCTCCTAGATAGAGTGAATTTAACTGTGGTTGAATGAGAAGTATAAATATATAAAACTCTGATAGTGTATTAGTTTGTACACAAACAAATCATGTCACACTCCAGCAGGACAGAATCATTCAAATCAAAGGACTGTACTTAAGAAGTATTTGTATTTCATGAATTATATTCTTACATTTGGCCGCAGCCCTCAGATAGATTTTCATTTTGGGGAAAAGCTTTGTGCAGCCTTGATATATGTATATAAACTGAAACAGCTGGACTAGTGCATCCTAAATTTAACATCMDTTMATTCTTTTAATACAACAGTCATTTCTGCAGTTTTTGGGGAGGTCACCTCCTAATAAATGTCCTTACAGAAAATCTAACTGCTCATTTTAAATCAGTACTTTGACTTTTAATACTTAACTACAACAAATATCACATACTTTAACACTTTTAATACTTAACTACAACAAATATCACATACTTTAACACTTTTACTCAAGTAATATTCCTAAAGGACACTTTAACTTTTACCAAAGTAATTCATTGGTAAGATACTTGTACTTTTACTCAAGTATCACTTTGTGGTACTTTATAAAACACTTGTCATTTCTACCTTCTCAACGCTCTCTGGTTTCATTTAAAAGCTAACCGTCTGATATTGTCGGTCGATATAACTCGCTCGCAGCCTCGCACCGATGAGTTATTCAACTAGGCAACGCAAACTAATTTGTAGTAAACAGGAAGTAGAAAAACAAACTCACAGGAGCCACACATTTTTCAAATTTTGTCATTCCCTTCCATCTTTTCTAATGTGACTCTTCAAAATGTGGATAAAAAACACTGATTAAAACACGGCTCTAATCGAAGAACTTCAAAAATAAAACTTCAGTTTAAAGGTCGAGTGTGGAGGATTCACTGACATCTAGTGGTCAAACTGCAGAATGCAACATTAAACTTCCTGTTCAGCTCTTCACACTTGTAAAAGATCAGAACTTTGACTCACCTTGGTGAGAACCGTGGGGTAAGTCCCGCCTCTTGCCAGAGAGGTGGTGGCCTGAACGTACAGGTGCTTGTTGTCTATGAGAGGCCACGCCCCCTGCACAGCGCAGGTGTGGAAGTCGTCGTTGAAGGAGCGGACGTGCAGGTTTCCGAACACGCTGCAGTGCAGGTACTCCGGCGTCCGACCCTCCCTGCTGAAGAAGCTCCTCTCGTACAGGCAGGTGTCTCCTGACAGCGTCCCCTGAGGGCGGGGCATGGGCTGGGCCGTGGGCCCCGCCCTCGGGCAGCGGTGCTGGATCAGCAGGTCCTCGATCCCCTGGACTGCAGAGTGGTAAGCCAGGTCGCCGCGACACGACCGCGCCATCCTCTTGGTGCACATGGCGTAAGTGCGCAAGGCACTGCAGTACCTGGCATTCACCTCCTCCCTACTGAGAGCTGCTGAAGTGGTGCTGCTGAGGTCAAAGGTCGCGGCCACAAACTCAGAGTTACACCTCAGGATACGACAGGAAGCTCTGACTGAGAAGAAAGAATTCCACTTGAATGCTTGTAGTGGGCACAGCTAACTTCACTAACCACTAATCTGCAAGAACCTTAGTTCTGCTAATGCTAAACAGATGAAAATTAGTGGAAGCTAATGCTAACTGCTAAACAAGAATCTTAGCTCTGCTAATGCTAAANGCTAAACAAGAATCTTAGCTCTGCTAATGCTAAAAAAATAAAAAATTTATGAAAGTTAACACTAACCGCTGAACAAGAATCATAGCTCTGCTATAGCTAAACAGATAAAAATTAGTGGAAGCTAATGCTAACCGCTAAACAAGAATCTTAACTCTGCTAATGCTAAAAAAATAAAAAATTTGTGAAACTTAACACTAACCTCTGAAGAAGAATCTTAACTCTGCTAATGTCAAGCAGATGAAAATTAGTGGAAGCTAATGCTAACTGCTAAGACAAATGCCACCCTAGTAGTTTTCTATTGGTTTAATTTGAAGGTGGGCGGGATCATCTGTGGCAAACCGACCAATCCAAACCAGAGTTAAAGCTCTGTCTAACTTGCGACACATTCTGTTTAACCCTTTCAGAGTAAAAATCATTTCTTTGACGGAGTTTGTATTTTTTATAAAAATCGTTTGAAGTTAGTTGAACATTAGCCTGGCCCTTGCCTTCCTATGCAGTTCTGCTCAGTTCTAGTTTCCTTCTCTGCTCCGTCTGGGACTTCTCCCTTAAACAAGGATTTCACTGGCAGATTTTTAGCCGGGCCAATCAGAGAACAGAATGTTGATTTTCTGTGCAGTGTCTGCTTGTAGTTTATTTTACCTGGACCAATCAGAGAACAGAAGGTGGAGTTTTGAACAACGTTGATGTTCT